CCTGGTGCCTGCTGAACTGGGCACAGTTTCCTCTTTCTTTCCTTTCTCATTCATTGAAGCACTGCTCCATCTCCATCCCTTAGTCTCTTAGAGTTTCGTGTTACTTCTCTTCTTAAAACTTTAATTTATCTAAGAACTCAGAGCAACTTGTCTTGTTGCTTGTGTCTAGGTCTAGTTTGTAGTCTGAGAGGTAGCTTTCGGTCCCTAATGAACAGCAGGGGTCCTGTTTATTCAGAAACTGAGGAAGATTCTGAGATCATTCCTGTAGGAAGAACTCAGGAAGAGACAGACAGAGAGAGAGAGAGAGAGAGAGAGAGAGAGAGAGAGAGAGAGAGAATGAATATCAGGGCTAATTCATTTGGTGGCTGAGAAAAGTGAACCAGTGATTGCTTCTCAGTGTCACCAGAGTGAGTAGTCCTATTCACAGACACACTGGACATCAGCTCCTGGGCCAGCTCCGTGGACCGTGGTCCTCTGCTTATCTGCTCTCACTGAAAAGAGCAAGTGAGCATTTCAACTGCCAGATCAGGGTGGGAAACTATTACCTTTAATGTTCTTCCTAATTGAGAGAATCTTTGCTTTGCATTGTGAGATCCACATATAAATATTTACAATCAGCTGCTTCCAGCCAAGAAAACTCACAACAGTCTCTGAAAGCAACTGCATGTGTTTTTCCCACAGATCACTGTGGCTGCGTCCCTCCCATTACTAGCAAAAGGGCTCGTCTTCCTTCTTGCAATGAGTGTGGGGATGTGTGCACATGTGTATTGCAAACTCTGGAACACCAGTGAACAAGTTTGCTTCCTAGAACAAGCAGATTCTTGGTATCTCTCACTCCTCTGGCTTGGGAGTTTTCTGCTCTTATTTCTTTTGTTGGTAATGTTATCAAGATATGAATACATTTTCCCTATCTTGTAATCGCTGTTTTCCAAAATGTGCAGTGACCTATCTGAATTCTCAGTTTTGCTTCTTTGTCTTTCCAGAAGATAGGCCTGCATATAAAGGGAGGGATAGACACTCACTTGGAATGGATATCTAATTTGTTCCATGCTAGGATAAAAGACTTCATAGCTCCACTTCTCACCTCAGTTTCTCAAATCCACATGTTCTTTGAGAAGAGAATGAGATGTTGGGTAGTTCAAATTGGAAAAGTTGGGTTTGATTACCTTCCTTTTTCTTGTTCTCCTAGTTGAATTTGAATCTAAGCCTTCATGGTTGAGAGTCCCAGCATCTCAGAGTGGGGTGTGTGGTGGACCTGGTTACAAACCCTTATCTACAGAAAGAATCATGTTAAATCAGTTTGGCTTGGTAGACTCTAGTTGTGACTCTGGTGGTTACTGCAAAAACAGGAATGCAAAGGAGCAGAGCTCCTTGTAGCTCAGGCGTGCCTCCCAGGCCAGAAGGAATTGCCTCAGAAGTCCTTTGTCAAAGGACATTAATACAGTTCAATAACTGTATAAGTGTCAGAGAAAAAGTGACAAGCATAAGGGTTAGCATGAAATTGGAAGTTCATCCTGTCACCTAGAAAAGTAAGGGCATGCAGTGATGCTTAGAAATATTGTCCGAAGACCCAGTAGCAGGTGTCAGACTGGCTGTGGTGTGGATGCCTGCAGGCTCTAGGCTGTTGCCCTCAGCCTTTAAAAATGCCTGCAAATCCTTCCTTTGCGAAATCAAGGCTAAGTCAACACTCTGGAGGGGCTGTGGTGCAGTACTGGCTCCCACAGTGGGAAAGATCTTTTACTCATACTCCAAAGAATGAGGCAAAGCCTGTGGTCCAGGAGCTGTCCAGATGGAGTTGCTGGGGCATCCAGGGTCAGGCGGAGGCTGGGGTGTTCACCTGAGCCAGGCATCCCTTGCTCGTCCCCATTTTTCCTGAAGGTCCCAGAGGTACAGGTGGTATAGTTAGCTTGAGTTGATGGCTTGTCTGTCTTAAAGTCCCTAGGTTCTTTTTCTATGGGAGCACATACAAATTCTTACTCAACAACCACTTAATTTATTGCCTTTTTAAAAAAAGTCTGTTTGTTTTTCTGAGAGATGCCAAATTGGCAACACCCAGGGCTGGCTGCCTCTCTTCTGATTCCAATCTTGGAGACTTTTATCCATAACCCATCAAAGCCCCAGGGCAGTTCTTTTCTGCTCCCACACTTAGTGGAATTAGGCAAGTAGACTTGCTAAGCCATATGATTTGAATAAAGCCTATTACTCCTCCTGTAAGAGCTTAGGATGAGGTCAGCAGAAATCAAAGCCAACTGTCCAGCCTGCCTCTCCCACTCTAATATCTCACTGGAGAATATAAATGAACTGAAGGAACAAAGAAAAGTGGATGTGGATGAGTATTATGAAACCATTGCACTTGCTAGGATGGTGGCCAAATGGGGTCACTTTGGAAAACCATGTAAATCACTTAATACCCTCTGTTTTAGAACAGAGTTGAGCAACGCAAGGATTCACATGCTCTTACTTTAAGCACAATACATACTCAATAAATATATGTCTGCACTGGTTTGTTATTAAAGTGCTAATCAAACACTCCTATTTGCACTTCCTTATTTTTGCTTCTTTTTTATACCTGGGAAGCCCTGGTTTAATATTTTATTTAAAAAGGGAGGACTCCAGTGTAATCTTGTTTACTTCGGTTGCTAAAAATGTTCTACTTTGGTATGCTTATGTTCATAACCAAGATCTCATTAAGAAAATATATTATTTTCAGACATAATTTGAAAAATCTGCAGGTTATTCATTATTATGTGTCATAACCGTGAATATTTTGAACCTATGGTTTATACAAGTGATAGCAAAACTTGTAGAGCTTTCACTGATAACCATTAGCCCACCACAGCATGCATGCCATAGATTGCCTACAAGTGGTCTATACTATAGAGGCCTGCTTCTTTCATTGAACATCGTTTCTTAAATATTGGGGATATTTTTGTGTAATCTGAATTTTTATGGTTGCATCACAGCCCATTGAAAGGGAATGTTACAGTTAGCTTATTTATGCCTCTGTACTGATCACTTTCAGTTTTCCATATTTATAAAGAACTTTAAGCAGAAGAATTTCCAAATTTCCACCATAGTTTATATTATTTCCTTAAGATGGACTTTTAGAGATCTCTTATAAAGATAACGAATGCTTTTAGGACAGGGCTTATAAGACTGCAGTGTGCACACTGATTCCTTGTGGGATATTGTGAAGTATCTAATTAGTAGGTCTGCAGTGGCCCTGAGAGTCTGCCTTTGTACCGAGCTCCTGCAGGATGCTCAGGCTGGGGCTCAGGATTTAGGCAGTCTGTTAACAGTGGTTGGTGTTCTGACAGAGTATATGGAAGACCTATTTTACCAAGTCACTGTTGGGGTGGGTTACCTAGGAGCACTGCTCCCACAGTAGTATTTTCTGGTCAAGAGGAAAGTTTTGATCAGCATGGCATCCAGAGAAAGTAAGGACTTATAGCACTTCACTTCAAAAGACTCTCTAAGCTTACTCATGGCAGCCTTAGAATTACTTGGGGACTTGCAGTACCCATGCACCAACCACATGGATCTATGGGCATGTGTATGATGCCAGGGATTACTCCCAACCATGACAGACACAATGTCTGGCAATGGGATGTGGCTACCAGTGACTTTTAAAGCTTGCCAAGTACTGAAGGTGGCTCTATGTCTAACCAGGATGGAGGACCATTGTTCTAAGCCTTCAGAGACCCACCTTTCATCTCACTGAGCTACAACTGTGGGGTTTTTTTTGTGTTAATTCATTTTTAGTTGTCATGTATGTTTTATATATTTATTGGGTACAGTATGGCAACTTAATAGCTGTATACAATATGTAATGGTCAAATCAGGGTAATTTACATTTCTATCTCTTCAAACATTTATCATTTCTTTATCTTGGGAAACTGGGTACCTCAGGTTCATTTGAAATATATAATAAATTGTTTCAGACTATGTAATTATAGTCTACTGTAGTGCTATAGAACATTAGAATTAGTTCCTCCTAGCTAACTGTAATTTAGTGCTGTCATCAGAGCTTTCTCTGTCCCCTCTCCCCACTCTTCCTAGCTTCTGCTGATCACTATTCTACTCTCTTCTTTGAGATCACCTTTTAGCTTCTACATATGAGTGAGAATACACAGCATTTGTCTTTCTGTGTCATGCTTATTTCACATAATATGGTGTCCTCAAGTTTCATTTATGTTGCCACAAATGACTGGATCGAAAGCTTATTGTGGCTTACTTGTCTATATAATATGATACATAGTATCCCAAAGAATTGAGCAGGACACACATACAAGAAGTAAGAAAGGTAGAGATTTATTAAAGGAAGGTGTACTCCTCAGAGTGGGAGTGGGAGTGGGAGTGAATTTGACTCAGAGTACCCCATCTGTTTTAGATGGGAGATTAAAGCACACTTGGGAGTTTTATACAGGCAGAGCTGAGGCGTGACAACTGTCAGTAAGAAAAGATCTCCCTCCAGAGAAAAGGGTGGACAGATCCAGAGATGGCAACTCCAGTGAGCTTTAGTGTTGGCTTGTCTTTTGTTTTTCTAGAATTTGGGAAGTGGTCAGGGGTGGACACTAATATGTTTGGTCCAATTAACTGAAAGTCTATACTTTCACATTGGGAGGGAGAGATTTTGACTTTATCTGGACCTAGACAGAATCAGTAGGGTTGCCAAAGCCCACCAGAGAAATCAGAACTGCAATACGATAGTATTATAATGGCTGTGGGGTTACCCCCTTTTACTCTAAAGCAGTTAGAGCACATGCCCTTTGGGCTCATGTCAGCTGTCAAAGAAATGTGATAAGGGCAGGAGCATATTTTTAAGGCTCATGTCAGGGTATTGAAGAAATCCAGTGAGACCAGGATGTTCTTGTAGTCTAGAAGAGCCAGAGGCATCCTGTCTGTTGTAAGCCTAAAACCAGGATATCTCCCACACTACCTCCTGCCTCGCCTGCCACTTACCAACAGCTAGAGTAATGCCTGCTGTTTCTCTTCGGCAGTTGCCTTTTCGGGACTCGGTTTTACGACATTCTACTTGGCGGGGAAGCTGCACTGCTTCACGGAGAGTGGGCGTGGGAAGAGCTGGCGGCTCTGTGCCGCCATCTTGCCCCTGTACTGCGCCATGATGATCGCCCTGTCCCGCATGTGTGACTACAAGCACCACTGGCAAGGTGAGTCCCTGCCCAGGGCCTGCCCAGTCCTTACTATGGTCAGCCCTCCTCTCCAGGGTTAGATGTAGACATGCACCAAGATGGGGAGGACTGAGTTCCCATTGGCAGAACATTGAACAGATAAGGTTTGAAGCACACATTCCTGCCCCAGTGAGTTCTAGCTTGCCTGCTGCCCTTCCTGGGAAAGAGTTGGAGCTCTTCCTTCTCTTCTTGTGTGCTCAAGGAGATTTTGCTTGAGTCCTGCCAGGATGTAAGGCCTTCTGTGTAAAATTACCCAGGGCCTCAGACCCAAATGTAATTTTCCTCCTGGATCACTTACTTCAATCTTTAGACTTGGTGCTAAGTGTTTTGGGGGGTTTTTTGGGCTATTTTTTCATATCAAATCGAATGTACAAGGTCAAGCATGTGCCCAGCCAGGGACTGATTCCAGCAATGTTTTAAGTGGTAGCTACAAGGTTGGAACGAGGCTTACCTCTAGCTATCAGTCCAGTGATGTTTGTTAGAAATCTAAATCACACAAAACAAACGAGGGACTTGTTCCTGGAATGTTAACTAAAGCCTGCCGTGTCCCTCTGCAGATAAACTGCAGCTTACAGTCTGCCTGGAAGACAACCACCACCTACCACAGAAAACAGGGAACAGACAGAGGTGCCGCCCACAGGAAATGTGCCCTCCAGGGAAGCAGGATCTAGGACAGTATTTCCAAAGGGCAATCTTCAGATCATCTTGATCAGGTCATCCTGAGTTAGGAATTGGACTCTCAGATGGGGGAATGTGGCAACTTTACTTTTTAAATTATTTATTTATTTATTTATTTATTTATTTATTTATTTATTGGCACCAGGGATGGAATGCCGGACCTTGCATGTTCGAGGAGGCAGGCGGTGGAACCACTGAGCTAAATCTCTGGCCCACTTTACTCTTTTTTTTGGTCCCCATTAAGTTTATTGGTACATTTTAGGTATAAAATACAGTTATATTCATCATTGGGATCTTGTACCATTACATGAGTATCTTGGTTCTTATTATTTTCCCCATTCCCCTGCCCTCCCTTCACCCC